GCCCTTTCTAAAATTGATTTAGCTTGTCAATCTCATCAACTCCATCACCAAAGTAGTCGTACTCTTAGATATCAATTTCAGATTCCTCGAGAAGCTGCCCGACAAATTGTTAAACGGTGCTCCACTTGCCCTCAATTTTCTTCTGTTCCACATTATGATGTTAATCCTCGAGGTTTGCTTCCTAATCAACTATGGCAAATGGATGTCACTCATGTAATGGAGTTTGGAAAACAAAGGTATGTACATGTTGTTGTTGACACTTTTCCAGGACTTATTCTTGCTTCAGCTCAAACAGAAGCTACTAAACATGTTATTGCTCACTGTATATATTGTTTCTCTATTTTAGGAGTACCTCAAAAAATAAAAACAGATAATGGTTCTGGATATGTTAGTAAGGCCTTCAAACTATTCTGCCAACAAATGCATATTGTGCATATTACAGGTATTCCCTATAATCCTCAAGGACAAGGAATAATTGAACGTGCTCATGGCACATTAAAAGTGCAACTTCTAAAAATAAAAAAGGAGGAGATATATCCCTCCTCACCCAGAAATTATTTAAATCATGCTATTTATATTCTAAATTTTTTTTTGCAAATTGATAAGCATGGCCATTCAGCAGCAGAAAGATTCTGGCATCCACAAGGTTCTCCATATACCTTAGTAAAATGGAGAGATCCCTTAACTGGTCAGTGGTATGGACCTGACCCCATTTTAATATGGGGCCGAGGATATGTTTGTGTTTTCTCGCAGGAACATGACGGAGCTCGATGGTTACCAGAGAGATTGGTTCATCATGTGGATCATCCTCACAAGTCTACATCCAATATCATGGGACAGTAACCTCCAAAATCATTACCTTTGTGTGGAGAAGAAACAGAAATAGGCAGTACTACTATTTTATGGAAGAGGTGTTATGTTACTATACCTCAAGAAAGACCATTCAATGACACATCTCAAAAACTTTGGACTAATCATTTGGACTTGAACTTGTCTGCAGGATTTTACTTTGGTGGACAAATTCAGGTTTTTCTCAAACATTTGGAAACTTATTGCTGTATCGGGAGAAATATGTTTATGGTCAGATGTCAAAGTTACTAGCCTTAATTTCAATGTTTTTAACATAGAGACTTTTAATATGTGAAATACCATAAATACTGTGTTATCTCAAGTCAAAGAACAAAAGAAAAAGATAATGTCTTGTGTTAATCCTCCTTATATGTTATTGGTAAGAAATATAGAGATTGCTTATGAAACTGATAATGAATATAACAACAGCTGTTTTAATTGTAAATTGACCAATTGTATATTCTCAAAATGATGACTTCCTTTCATTCTGTGATGGTTTTGAGACAACCTCTCTACATGATGATGTTTGTAACAATTAATGAGTCCTAGTATGAAGATCAAGGGTTACAGATGTTGATAGAGGTAGAGAAATCTACATGTCAAGCCTCCACAACCTATGATCTAACCCCTGCAGAGGCTGGTAGTCAAAGACGGGTAAGAGAAGTGTAGAGAAATATCCAACCTAAGACAGAGCATGAGTATCAGAATTCTCATGGCTTGATGACGGGTAAGATATTTCTCTGGACATTTCTCACCTAAGACAGGCACAGTCTTTCTGCTGAGCTGGGAAAGTCCCTGCTCTAAATATAATAAAAAGCGGGATATGTGGGAGCCGGGCCGTGGCCCTCTAGGAGTTTGACATTTAAAAGGAAACTTCTTCACCTCTACGCTCAAGGCATTGATACAATCTGTAACATTCTAGGACTCTGCTTGTTAAACTTGTTGCTGCAACGGCCTAAGACAGGCACAGTCTTTCTGCTGAGCTGGGAAAGTCCCTGCTCTAAATATAATAAAAAGCGGGATATGTGGGAGCCGGGCCGTGGCCCTCTAGGAGTTTGACATTTAAAAGGAAACTTCTTCACCTCTACGCTCAAGGCATTGATACAATCTGTAACATTCTAGGACTCTGCTTGTTAAACTTGTTGCTGCAACGGAAGAAACTCAAGGAGACAGCCGAAGATCTGATGTTCTTTGCAAAGAGTCAGACAATCCGGTCTTTGCATAAAAGATACAAATAGTTGCTTGGTGCTTCCTGTTGATGTGAACCTATAAAAGGAGCTGTTTCTGTGAAATAAATCAGACTTCTCTTCGTCTCCGCTCAGGCTTGAGTGTTCTTTCCTTTCTCAATCCTCACTCCCCGACTCAGGCATGTTCGTGTTGTGACGGCTGGACCCCCACATGAGACAGGGTCTCACTACATAGTTGAGACTGCCCTGGAACTCACTATGTAGCCCAGGCTGGTCTCGAACTCACAGCGATCCTCCTGCCTCAACCTCCAAGTGCTGGGATTACAGGTGTGCGCCACCACGCCCAGCTAACAAATTTTTAGAAAGTAGAAATAGGGATATAGCTCAGTGCCAAGGCCCATGGTTCATTCCTCAGTATGGAAGGAACAAAAACCAAACAGATCAAATGTTTGATTCCCAACACTGAAGCTATTGATCTACACTACTCTCGATTCAATTTCAACACGCCCAAACTTCTGGCCCATTAGGCATGCAACACATCACACTTTGGTGAATACAAATTCTACAATTAGCTGGGTATGGTGCTACATGCCAGTAATCTCAGAACTCTGGGAGGCTGAGGTAGGAGAACAGCCCATTTGAGTCCGTCTGGGTATTTAGTGGTGTAGCAATTCTGTCTCAAAAATTAAATATTAAAAAAGGGATAGAGGAGGCTGGGGATTTAGCTCAGTGGTGCCGCTGCCTGCCTTGCAGCAAGCACAAGGTCCTGAGTTCGGTCCCCAGTACCAAAATAAATAAATGAATTTGTTGATAAATGAGTGTACACAGCATGTTCATTACAGGATTCAGAACAAAGAAATGGTCAAAGGGGGCTCCAAATTGATGGCTTTGCTTGTTTTTGCACAACTCTTAACATGCAGGAGTATGCTCTATCAAGATGTATAGAGCTGTACAACAAAGTAAGAGCTCATACGTCCACAGTCATTAAATAGGTAGGTTGTTAAATGAGGAACAGTGATACTTGCCAAATTTCATTATCTTGTTCTATTTTATGTATTAGCCCCCTAAATAAATTAAACAATTCTGAAACTCTATTCAGTTTATTTGGACTTTTGAAACAGGGTCTTCCTATGTAGTGCAGGATGTCCTTGAACTCACTATGTAGCCCACCCAGGCTGGCCTCAAACTTGCAATGATCCTCCTGCCTCAGCCTCCCAAGTGCTGAGATTACACCATGCCCAGCTAATTCCATTGATCTTAAAACATCAGAACAGCCTTTTTCCCAGGCCATTTTCCTAAAAGAACCTTTCTGTGCTGCTTGAGTTTTTTACTGCCATCTGCATGAATTAAAACTAAATTTCACACACACAAGTATAAATGCTACAAATTCTCATGCCCACACCTGAACAGGGACAGTGTGCCACGCCCAAGCCGGTGGCCTCAGCCACAAACAAACGAGGGCACAGATGAGGCAAGGACAGCACAGACCACTCAGATTCCGTCCAGCCACAGTTTTACGGCATCCTGGGTTTTTATGGGGGAGCCCAGGGCCACACACAGGCAAGGGAAGAGCTCTGCCCCAAGCTACAGCCCCAGCTCGACGCTTCCTATTTTCTCTTCCTTATTTTCAGCATATTTACTCCAACATCCTTATATCCCATGAGTAGGTGCTCCTACCCGTCCGGCCCACGGTCCCATCCTGTGCTGCACGTGAGGTTGCCCAGGGGAAACCCCCGGGGCCGGCCCAGTCACAGCTCTCACTGAGGGACTCACAGCCCGCAAGGCTGGCACAGTGTGCACACCTGTCACCCCAGCACACACAGTGTGGACGCAGGTCAGCCTCAGGTCTGCAGCCAGCCTGGGCTTCACAGAGAGAGTCTGTCTGAGAAAAAGACAAAACCCGAAGATAAATAAAAGAGAGGAGCCTGGAGTGCACTCACGGAGGCGGGGCCGTGGAAGCTGGCACCCTCCCGGGGGCAGGGTGGAGACTGCCGTCCTCAGCCCGGTGTCTGCAGAGCTCTCCGGGTTCGCAGGGGTCTAAGGACCTGGAGCTGTGACCCCCGGTTCTACAGAGGTCCCAAACCCACCCCAGCTGCACAGCCGGCCCCCGCGAAGCCACTACTGGCAGCCAGGCCAGTCTGACTCACTTGACGGCGCCCACATCCTCCGCATAGCGCTGCATCTCCTCGCGGGCCCGCTCCTCCCGCAGCTCCCGCTGCAGCTCCTCGATCTTCTTCCGCTCAGCCTCGTGCCTCTGCTCGGCTTTCCACACCTTCTCCACATTGCGGAGGGTCTGCGGGTGCCAGCTCTTCTTCAGGTTCTGGGGGGGGCATGCAGTTCAGCTGTGGGGACGTGGCCACCTCACGCACACTGCCATCGCCCGGTGTGACCAGTGGCAGAGAGGGAGAGCTCGGCATCAAGCGCCTGCCTAGTGCATGGGAGCCCCCAGCACCAAAAGAGTAAAACAAACACGGGCCGGCATGGTGACACACTGGGGAGGCTGAGGCAGGAGGGTCACCGCCAGTTTGAGAGAAGGCAGGACCAGGACCAGTAGGCCAAGGTGGAAGAAAAAAGAAGAACTGAGAAAAGGAAGGAAAGAAGGACCTAAGGGAAAAGGCAGTTGAGGAAGGAGAAAGGAAAGCAAGACGAGAGCCCTCCTTGATTATACTCTTTCCCCGACAGGTACCCTGTGCACTTTATCTTATTTGGCCTTCACAACCCTGCCCACTCTCCTTGTGACAGATGGCCATGCCTCTCCCCCGTGTCCTGCACCAGTAAGCCAAAGTCCAGTCCCTACATGAGCCCCAACCTCCTTCTCGTGGGCTCACCTTGCACCTCTTGCCCATCAGCTTAAACTCCGCCTCTAGCACGCAGAACAGCTTGAGGCGTGACCCTTCCTCTCACTGGGGCTGTGACTGAATGTGCTTCCCTAGGCTTGGAAATCGGTCCCCACTGCCCCGCCCCGTCCTGAGGGGAGGCCAGAGCCAAAGCAGTGAGCAGCAGAGAGACAGGGACGGGGAACATCTGCGAGGGTAAAGGGAAGAAAAGAAGCACTGGGAGTCAGCCTGGCAGGAAACCGGCTGCCTTCCCCGCTCTGACCACAGGTGGTACAGGGAACAGGTGGCAAAGTCTGAAGACGCTCTTCTTTGTCATAACTGGGGAACGAGGGTGTTACTGAGTCCAGCGACACACTAAACATCACAACAATCTAGCCGATTTCTTTTTTTTTTTGTACCAGGGATCAAACTTGGCTCTTTGCGCTTGCGAGGCAGGCGGCAGCACCACTGAGCTAAATCCTCGGTCCCTGATTTCTTTCTTTCTTTTGGTACCAGGAATCAAACTCAGGTCCTTGAGCTTGCAAGGCAGGAGGTGGAACCACTGAGCCAAATCCCCCATCCTCTAGCCGATTTCTTATTAGAGCTAAACTATCAGTAGCGTAGCTCTGGGGTGAAGAAACAATGCTAAACACAGTTACCTGGATAATGCACTACACTGCATTCTGGAAGCCAGTTGGCCACCTGACAAACCCTAACCCAACTCCTGAGCAGATGTCCGGGCTGACCCAGTTGCTGGCTCCACCCTCTCCACCTCGTGGAGGCGAGCAGTGTCCCAGGCTTGCACGGCACCTTCGCCTAATCCGAAGCCTTGGCCACTCACGAATGAGCAGCAGCACTGATGAGACGACACCACTTAAGCAAGCGTCGCGACTACAGAAGGAAGCGCTGTCACCACAGCTCAGATCAGGAGGCAGCACTGATACAGCACGAGTGCGAGTCAGGCAGGTGGACCGAAGGCACAGCTCAGGAGCAGGAAGAACTGGGCCCAAGCACCCGTGTTCCAGTCTGGCCCAGGACTCTGAACTAGCTAAGGACAGGAAACGTGTTCTGAGATAAGATCCAGGGAACAAAACCTGGCTAGGGGTGTAGCTCAGTGATTACAAGGCCCTGGGTTCCCATCCCCGGCACTGAAATTAATAAGAATTAAATTTTAAAGTGAAAAAACTTGGGCCAGGGATTTAGCTCAGTGGTGCCACCGCCTGCTTCGCAAGCACAAGGTCCTGAGAAAAAACTCAGGGCCAGGGATTTAGGTCACTAGTGCCGCTGCCTGCCTCGCAAGTGCAAACTCCTGAGTTTGATCCCTGTTATGAAGAAAAGAAAAAAGTCGCATGCCATGTTCTCAACATCCCCCAACCAGCACACAAACTGCAAGAGCCACCGTCAGTGGGACCCTCCCATGCTTTCCCAAGTGCCAGCCTCAGCCAAGGTGGTGGCACACGCCTGTAATCCCAGTACTCTGGAGGCTGAGGTAGGAGGGTCGCCATGAGTTCCAGGTTAGCTTGAATTACATAGTGAGACCCTGTTTCAAACAACAACAAGCTGGGCGTGGTGGCGCACGCCTGTAATCCCAGCACTCGGGAGGCTGAGGCACGAGAATCGCTGGGAGTTCCACACCAGCCTGGGATACATAGTGAGTTCCAGGTCAGTCTCAACTACATAGTGAGACCCTGCCTCAAAAAACCAATAAAAACAAAAAAGCAAGCGACAACAACTGGATTACAGCACATCTGTAATCCCAGCACTCGGGAGGCTGAGGCACGAGAATCGCTGGGAGTTCCACACCAGCCTGGGATACATAGTGAGTTCCAGGTCAGTCTCAACTACATAGTGAGACCCTGCCTCAAAAAACCAATAAAAACAAAAAAGCAAGCGACAACAACTGGATTACAGCACATCTGTAATCCCAGCACTCGGGAGGCTGAGGCAGGAGGATCGATGGGAGTTGGAGACCAGCCTGGGCTACATACTGAGCTCCAGGTCAGTCTCAACTACACAGTAAGACCCTGTCTCAAAAAACCAAAACCAAAGCCAAAAACAAAAAACAACAACAACAAAAGACGTTTCCCCAGCCAAGTGCCAGCCCCATCCCTGTGGTCCTAAAGACCAGTCCTCTCTCCAGGGGGCTGAACGCCAGGGTTTGTTACCATGGTTACTCGTCCCACCCCCTCCAGAGGTCCCCACCCCAGCGCCACTCGGTCTCTCCCTGCCTAGGACTAACCCTAACCCCCACTTACCAGGTCCCCGCCCCCCATGGTGGTGGCAAGGTGTCCTCGGCAGGCTCAGGAGAGACCGGGAAACGCAGCGACGGCGTCCGGGCCCGCTCTCGCAGGATCGGGTGTCGGGAGGCAGCGGGGAAGACTTTCTGGGCCCGGCCTAGACCGCACTTCCGAGAGCAGCGTCATCAGAGTGCGACTTGGGTCGCGCCCCTGTGACGTCAGAACCAGAACCTGCGCGTCACGTGGCGGAGGCGTCCCGTAGCATTTTAGAGACACCTGAGACAACTGTTTTGGTCGCCGTGGTCCCCTTTCGGACTCCCCGAGTCACCACCTCTCCCGAGGTCTGAAAATGTCCGGTTGCAGCGTGCGTTTCCACGGCGTCGAGAAGCGAAACCCGCTTGTGGACTGCCTCGGCCTCCTTGTGCAGTGCACGCCCTTTTCGAGATGGCTTTCCGCTGCTCCCCACCCCGCCTTGATTCCCCGCCAGCAGACCTGCCCCAGGCCCATTGGACAGAGATAAATAGAAGCCTTGGAGCAAATACCCCCAACTTCCCTGGGCCCAGCTTTCAGAGGCTCCCGTCTCCCCGTTTCCTTTTTTTTTTTTTTTTTTTTTTTTTTTTGTACTGGGAATCGAACTCAGGACCTTACTCTTGCCAGGCAGGGCATCGTCACTGAGCTACACCCCTGGGCCACCCCTACATTTCTTTTTTTTGTTTTGTTTTGTTTTGTCTTTAGAGACAGGGTCTCACTATGTAGTTGAGACTGACCTGGAACTCATTATGTAGCCCAGGCTGGTCTAGAACTCGCAGCGATCCTCCTGCCTCAGCCTGGGATTACAAGCTTGGTCCACCATGCCCAGCCTTGTTAGCGCACTTTTTTAAGAGAAGAATTTTTTGTCCCCATTTGTTTTGATGACTTGTTGAAAATCCAAAGGAAACCTGAGTATGCCTCTGTTTATAAACTCCCTATTCTGCACTGATCTATTTCAACCTTAGCCTGGCTCTGCTGCTCCTGTTCACTACAGAAAATACAGAGGCCAAGCTGGGCATGTTGGCAAGCACGTCTGTCATCCCAGTGCTCTGAGAGGCTGAGGCAGGAGGATCGAAAATTTGAGCCCAGCCTGAACAACTTAGCTAGACCTTGTCTAAAAAAGGAGGGCCCTCAAAGTTCGGGGAGCTGCACACAAGGCAGGAGCCGGGAGCTCGGGAAGGTGCCGCCAGCAGGGGAGCAGGGACAGCAGGCCGTCACAGGAATCAACACATTTGAATGTGGATCAGAAGATGCAGATGCTCCAGTAGTTCGAGGGAAACCCAGCTGCGTCCAGAGGTGTGCCAGCCCCAGCAGTGATAACCAGGGGAAGGGGAGCAGTTACAGCCCGGCCAGTGGAGTTGGGGTTCCAGAGGGACACTGACAACCAGGGGCTCCTTTCTACCCGAGGGCCAGTGAGCCGGGGAAGAGGCCTTCTCAAACCCGAGCAAGAAGAGGCCCTGCTGGGCACGGACCCCACCCGCCCCCAGCACAGGAGGCCTGTGGAGGATGTGGCTGCAGTGACCGCGGCTGCAGCAGGCCGGCCCAGAGTGGAGCTAAGGACTGCGAATGGGCAGCGGCTCAGTGAGGAGCCCACGATTCCTGTGGACTCAAGGACTGGACCAGCTCCGGACGCAAGTCCCTTAGTGAGGACAGCGAGGGGCGTCTACAGGGCCCGGCCATCGGGCAGACACTGATCGTCCTCTCTGCTGCTGTGAGACGGCCAATCTCCACGTCCCGTACCCTGTTCAAAGTAATTTTTTTTGCCGGGCGTGGTGGCGCACGCCTGTCATCCCAGCACTCGGGAGGCTGAGGCAGGAGGATCACTGTGAGTTTGAGACCAGCCTGGGCTACATAGTGAGTTCCAGGTCAGTCTCAACTATGTAGTGAGACCCTGTCTCAAAAAAAAAAAAAAAAGTAATTTTTATTTTTAGATGATAAACAGACCTTTATTAGTCTGGCCAGATGGCACTCCCAGAGCCAAGTAGCTCTGAGAGGCAACTGCTCAAAGTAATTTTTTCTATGAACAGTCCCTTTTTAAATAAATCAAGATGTTTAACATCTGAAGGGATGGAACTTTACTCTTGAAACATCAATCTGATCAGGAAAAAAAAAAGCATGTAAAATTTTGTTATTTCCAGTCTGTATATGAAAAAATAGGTCATCAGGGTCAGGGATTTAGCTCAGTGGTTCTGCCACCTGCCTCACAAGCGCAAGGACCTGAGTTTGATCCCTGGTACCAAAAAAAAGGAAAGAAAGAAAAAATAGTTCATCAAAAGGAAAAAAGTAACTTTGATTAACTAGTGTTAAACAAAAACATAGGTTTACTAAATATGTTAACCCATTCTTTTAACATAAGCCTCTTTCATAGTAAAGGTTTCCATAGAATTTAGTTATTTTTGTCTTTCAGCCTTATGCTAGTTTTTTTTCTCTTGCCAACGTGTAAAAAGGGAAGCCAATGACAAGTGCAAATAATGTGGTATTCTTTTGTACTCAAGCCTTGAAATGTTCGGTGCGTTAAGCAAAGTCTCCTTGCTTGATACTAAATAAACTTTTGAAAGGAAAAACCCTAAACAATGGTGAGTTCCCCAGCACCCCAAGCTGCAGGTTTATAGTATGCTTCAGTTTAGATAGAAGTAGCCCTACACATTTTAGGAAGGCTTTGGTTTGAAATAGCGAGAAAAAAAAGGTATGTTTTGAAAAGAAATACCATCTGGAGCTGGGCTTGGGATTGAGCTCCGTGGTACTACACCTGCCTGGTAAGCACATGGTCCTGAGTTCAATTTCTGGTACAAAAAAAAAAAAAACAAAACTGCCTGAACTAGAGAAACCAGCAATTTCTCTCCCCTCCCTCTGCCAGTCAGGTGTGACTTTGTTGGCACCCAGCACACGCCAGCCCTGACAGAAGGGACCCTGGTTCATCTGAGTTTGCACTAGCTCTACATATGCTAAGCTTTCATTTTTTTCTTTCTTTCTTTTCTTTTTTTTTTTTTTTAACTTTTAAAAGAACGCATTGAACCTGAGCCGGGGGTGGTGGTGCACACCTGTCATCCCAGCACTCAGGAGGCTGAGGCAGGAGGATCACCTCAGTTGGTGGCCAGCCTGGGCTATATACAGTGAATTTTCAGAGTGTCTAAACTACAAAACAAGAATCTGCCTTAAAAAAAAAAATAAAGTACCCATTGAAAGAACATCTACCTTTACTCTGACATACATCACATAGCCAAATTGTGATTATAGCTTTTTTTTTTTTTCTTAGTACTGGGGATTGAACTTGGGTCCTTTCATTTTTGAGGCAGGCAGCAGAACCACTGAGCCAAATCCCAAGCCCTGTTTTTATAGCTTTTGCCTGTAGTTTTTTTCCTGCTCCTGGGATTGAATTTAGGCCCTTCACAGTGAGATACATCCATAGTACTTTTTTTTTTCTTTTTCTTTTGAGACAGGGTTTCACTAAGACACTAATTGAACAGGGTAGGCTTGAACTTGCAGCCCTCCTGCCTCAGCCTCTCAGAGAGTTAGGATTACACATGTGCATCACCACACCTGGATCCCTGGTACCAAAGAAGTTTAAATTCAAAATTACTTGAGGGGTTTGTGTTAATTAAAGCCGAGGAGGGGTTCTTGTGGAGGCTTTTATTGCCTCCCTTGGAATGGGGAACATTTGTTTTAGGATAAGAATTATCCAAGAGGCTGGGGATTTAGCTCAGTGGTGCTGCCACCTACCTCGGAAGCACAAAGGTCCTGAGTTCGATCCCCAGTACAAAAGAAAAGAATAGGGTGTTTGTCTTTTGTCTTCTTTAATGGCACTGTGGTTGGCAGTATTTATCCTTGCTCCCATTTGTGGAGATAAAAACGTGGAAGGGAAAGGGGGCACCCGGATTTGAACCAGGGACCTCTTGATCTGCAGTCAAATGCTCTACCCCTGAGCTATACCCCCACACCCTGCTGGCCTCCTCTTCCCTGTCCATTTATGGGGACTCATCCCATGCACTCCACCCACTCTGGAGCCCTGGCCGGCTTTGTGTTCTCAGGCCTCACCTTCTCTTGTGGGAGGCATCATCGGCCTGGCTCTCGTCCTAGCCACTCAGAAACTGGGTGGGGGCACTTTACAAATGACATCCAGGGCACGCGCTGAGTGGAAGCCGCCAGCAGCAGCAGGGAGCGCTGTGGGTTCTCTCTGGGTTGGAATCCTGGGGCTAACAGCCCCGGCATTGATCCTGTTTGCCTACTGCCTCCCTGTGAATCAAGGGTGAATCCAGATTTCGAAACAAACCTGCTGACGCCAGTGTCAGCTCCAGGGCTGGCCCTAAACCTCACCTACCGGCATCTATGCCCTTAGCCAACGGAGCTTCTCTAGCTGCTGTCTGTCACCCCACATGCAGGGACAGTGACCACAGCCACAGGCACAGCCACAGATCCTCGGGCAGAGGCACACATGCTAACACGACGGGTGTGTTTCTACATGTTTTGGCAGACGTGTGGCAGTATCGGTGTGATCATGTCTACAGTTTGTTTTTTGTTTTTTTGAGACAGGGTCTCACTATGTAGGTGAGACTGACCTGGAACTCACTATGTAGCCCAGGATGGTTTTGAACTCTCAGCGATCCTCCTGCCTTAGCCTCCCGAGTGCTGGGATTACAGGCCTGCACCACCACACCCGGCTACAGTTCTGATAGAGCAGTTTGGGTGCTTCCCTGCCGATCCCCTCCATTCTTTGTATCGCTATAGTAATATTTCTCAGGGTCCTCCCACTGATTAAAGATGCTTGTCAAAGTTCTACTTCTAAGACTGCCACCAGAGCATGAGAAAGAACCACACGTTGCTTTAGGAAAAAATACAGAAAGGGCCAGGGATTTAGCTCAGTGGTTCTGGTGCCTGTCTCAAAAGCACAAGGTCCTGAGTTCGATCCCTGGTACCAAAAAAAAAAAAAAAAAAAAAAACAAAAGATGGGACTTACATCATGAGAAATAACGCAGGAATGCCTCTGGCTTGTCACAATGAGTGTTAATGAAATAACTCAGAGCTTGTAATAGTCCCCGAAAGATGAACATTGCACCTAATTGTATAAAACCTTTTAAAACTCACTATTGCCGGGCGTGGTGGCACACGCCTATAATCCCAGCACTCGAGGCTGAGGCAGGAGGATCGCTGAGAGTTCCAAGCCAGACTGGAATACATAGTGAGATCCTATCTCTACCCCCCTCTCCCAAAACACAACAGCAAAACAACAAAAACTACAGCACACAAAGAGACACAGACAGAACTTTTTAAATATAAAATAATATTGAGAGTTCCTCTAAGCCTCTGTCCGAGAAATTCAGGTGAAGGGCGGTGAAGTGCAGTGGGGCCGTCAGTAGAGAGGGAACGGCGTGACTTCTCCGAACACTGAGGGGCGCTGGCGGAGGGCCGGGGTGTTCCTGCGGTAGCCAAACCGGCCGTTGATCCCAGGAGCCAGCTTCGGATGTGCATTGTAGTAGTCATGGCCTGTGACCTGCTGGAGGGAGTGCCCTGGGAACAAGGAGGGAGGCTGAGCCCCAAGCCCTCGGGCAGCACCCTCCTCCTACTGTCCCTACTCCCTCAGGCTGCCACAGGTGCCAAACTGCGCTTGCCACTGAGCTCCCCATACCCAAACCCAAACTCAACTCTCATGTGGGGTGTAGTGGCGCACACCTGTCATTTCAGCACTTGGGAGGCTGAGGCAGGAGGATCACCACGAGTTTGACGTCAGCCTGAGCTACATAAGTGAGACATTGTCTCAAAAGCAAACCGCTCTCCTCCAAGGGCCTGGTCCTCTTGACAGAAAACCCCAGGGCTGGTGAGGTTCTGGAGTCAAGAGGCGCCCCACAAATCAAACCCCACACCATGCCGAGTTCCAGCAGCACCCGGGACTGGTCGACTGGGTCCAAGCAGGCACCGGGCCATGTGACCAGCACGTGGTCACAAAGAGCAGTCGTGTTGGGGTGGGAGGTCAGCACGCTGCCAAAATGCTCTCCACCTGGCATTCCCACTCTGGTTAAATTGGGCCAGGAATATGAGCAAGATGCAGCCTGCTCAAGGAGTAGTTTTGGGGAAACAGGCTGTTTTGTTTTGTTTCTTGAGACAAGGTCTCATTATGCAGCCCAGGCTGGCCGCAAGCTGGCTTCAATCCTCCTGCCTCAGCCTCCCACACGCTGGGATAACAGGCTTGCGTCACCACGCCTGGCTTGGAACGTGTGTTAGGGTGGACACACAGGGTTCCATCCCCAGCTCATCCCTTCTTCTCAGCAAATCCCTCTTGTGCAACACAGCTTGGCCGGTCCCGTGAGGGGAAAAGCTACGTGACAGACAGCAGCTGCTCAGGGATGCATTATCCAGAGCACCATGGCTCCAGTCGTGCCCGTCTGAGAAGAGACAGGAGGATGTGACCCCTGCACATCTTCCCCAGACCTGGCCTCCCGAGGCTTCTCTGGACTGTGGGGTGCAACCCTCTTTTCGGGGTACCACATCTGCACAGTGAGGTAGCACTTACCTGCACCTGCCCAGTTTCTCCTGTTGAGGTATCGCTGTCCCTGCCCAAAAATGTGGAAGTAGTCCACTATCCAGCCATCCCTTCCTGTACCACCGCGGTCCTGAAAAGACACAGAAAATACAGAAGCCGGTCAGTGAATTGGCCAGGGCGCACGGCAAACTCTGGGGGCTCATCTTGCACGGAGGGGGTCAGAGTCCTAGGTAACTGGAGGCCGAGTAAATGTCCTTCACGCCACGTAAAATAATGTCATGCTTTCAGTGAGCTTTTTCTTGCTGAATCGCAGCCATATTTGTCAGGTGTGGTGATGATCTACATAAAAAGGATTGATTTGACACAAAACCTTAGTTTAGCCAGGCCTGGTGGTGCACGCCTGTAATCCAGCACTGGAGAGGCTGAGGCAGGAAGATCACTTCAAGTTCAAGGTCATCGTGGGCTACACAGATCGTGTCAAAAACAACATAAAACAAACAAAAAGTAACCCAGCCGTGGCAGTGCAGGCCTATGATCCCCGCACTCTGACCAATTCAAGCCCAGCCTGGCCGGGTTTGTGAAGCAGGAAGCCCTGACTCCAAGTTAAAATTTAAAAAGGGCCGCAGGTGTAGCTCAGTGCGAAGGGTCTGGGTTCAGGCCGCGGGGAAGAGGGAAGAAGCGAGCGAGGGAGCACGGAGTGAGGACAGGGACGCCTCGGGGAGGCCCATTCCCTCG